GAGAAATTAATGGCCAACTAATATAATATACAGAAAAAATTAGCCGGGCATGGTGGCGCATGCCTGTAGTCCCAGCTACTCGGAAGGCTGAGGCAGCAGGATCGCTTGAGCCCAGGAGTTTGAGGTTGCTGTGAGCTAGGCTGACGACACGGCACTCTAGCCTGGCAACAAAATGAGACTCTGTCTCAAAGAGAAAAAAAAAGACCAGTAAAGTCTGTTAACTCCTGAAAAGCTAGACTTATGACAAAGTTCTTAACATTCTAATAAGGGGGAAACCTCCAGAACACAAGCAAAGATGGGTAGCAGCAGAATCCAAGGCGTGGGGCGGGCCCCGGCCCGGCCCCGCCCCGAGTCCCGACAGCCCCGGGCGCGCTGGGAGCGCGCGGGCCCGCGGCGGCAGCGGCGTCGGCGGCGGGCGGGCCGGCGGGGGCCGGGCGGGAGAGCAGGCTGCACCGGCTCTCATCCTCCGCGGCAACCGCCCAGGCGCAGGCTCGCCCAAGACTCCAGGTCCCCGCCCCAGAGCCATAAACCGCGCTCGAAAGAGCTAAAAGAGAAAGAAACCAGCCGCCAGTCGAAAAGATTATGCCCCATTCCCACTCCGTAATTCCACCGATCGATCGTTTAACGAGAATATGCAGTAAGCCGCTTCCATTTCGTTCAGTTTTTAAAGGCAAACATAATTTTATGACTGCGACCACATCTGTCCGCTTAAGTGGCGGGAAAGCGCTAAGGAAATGCGCCACCACGGTCGTCAATGTGCTCAAAATGGCAGCCGCCGCCGAGGGCGGGGGGAAGGGCGGGCGACTCCACGAAGGGCACTGGGAAACACGTGATCCTGAACCTCGCTTTGGCTGAGCAGGCGACGAAAACGCCAAGAATACGGAACCCAGCACACACGCACGCCCGCCATCTCCGGTCTCCCTTCAGCACCCGCCCGCGGCCTCGGCTTCGCATGGCGTGCGCCGAAGCCGCCATTACGCACGCGGAATAACCGTCTCCCAACCGCCGCGCCAACCCTACTGGCTCGCAATACTCACTACGCCCATCAACGTCCCTCACCGGACCCCAGCTTCTTACCTCCTCCCGTACCGTCCGTAGCGCGAATGATGACCGCCCCGCGTGCTCTGCTCTTAGCTTGCAGCGCCAGGGCTCGCGTAACACGAAAGCTGCACACACACTCGCTCGCCAACGGTCCGCCGGCACTACGAGGAAGAACCCGGTCCGCGCTTATATATGCAGCGGCTGGGGGTTTTGCGCATGCGTCATCTCGGCGTTCTGCGCGGCACAAAGGAGTTGGGCGGAAACAGTCTAGAAGCGGCGCGGAAGGAATGAGGAGCCTAATACGCCGGTCACGGCGGAGGGATACGTTTCCATGGAACGCCACGATCTTGCCTGTAAACCCGTGTCTTTCCCGTGGTGTCCGCTCCCTCCCCTCCCTCCCCTTTTCCTGAACCCTCTTGTCTTCCTTCCCTTTGCCTATCTCTCCTACCCGTTTGTGTTTTCCTCAATCTAAGGACCCTAGCGCTCTCAACCTTAGTACAGGTGCATTGAGACCGGGCTATGAAAGGCTGTACAATTTAACCGCTGATGTTGCAGCCGTTGCCGCCTTTCTGTTGGGGACCTGGCCTAGTCTGCTACTCAGTGATCTTTGGGGCTCTTCAGAGGTAATCGGGAGTTGGCCAAGGTGAAAACTCCATGAACCCCGCCATTCTGAGTGGTGCTCTTTGCACCATAGGCCTCTCAGAAGGGGTGACGCCCAGGGATTCGTGGTGATACCTCCTGCCCTGCCCTGCACCCACTGTCAGAATCAGTCACTATTTGTCACCAACACAGTCTGAGTTCTGGAGTCTGGAAAACAAAGAAATAGGGAGTTGTTGTGGGTTTTTTTTTTTCCCTCTGGGTATACTGAAATTGTGACAAAACCTGAGTCCTTAAAGCATTTTACCCAGTGGCAATTCGTGAAATTATTTGCATCTGAATTACAAAAGTAATTTATTTGTTCTTCCCTTTTAGTATTGTCTGCTTTGTATTGTAGTAACAGTACAATACTCACATCCTGAGAATTGGGACTCTTATTAAATCATCTTTTAGAATATCCACTCAGTGGAGATAGCAGCTTGCTGCTTAGCCACTCAATATACATCAAATAAATGAAAACTTATTAGCATTGCTGAAAAGTCAGTTTTGATTTTATACGCTATATTTGCCAGACACCAATTCTACAAAATAAAGATTTAAGTTCTTTTTACTGAGACCACTAAAACAAGACTTGGCATCATCATTTGATGAAAAATACTTGTAATATACAGAGTTGGAAATGTTATACATAAAAGAGGATCAAGGAATAGGATCCTTAGTATTTGTGTTTTTATCTTTTTCATCTGTTGTAACTTCATTTGGTGTGTATAGGTGTAGAATGCAGAGAACAGGGAAAGGAGACCTCCTTGGTGAATAAAGCATGGATTCTCTCCAGGTAATGATCTGAATATATTGCATATATCTTTCTCAAATTTAGCAAATTACAAAAAGACAGTCTATCTCAAGAAAATCTCTAGCAAGAAATAGAAGCTCTGTATGTATGTTATATTTGTTCTCCCTTAGTCTTTGTGGGTTTTGTTTTTCTCTACTTAACAGGTTTCTTCTAAAAAGATTAAACATAATTATAAAGATCTTTTTTAGGGCCGGGCGTAGTGGCTCATGCCTGTAATCCTAGCACTTTGGAAGGCTGAGGCAGGAGGATCACTTGAGCCCTGGGTTCCAGGCTGCAGTGAGTTATGATCATGACACTGCACTCCAACCCTGGCAAAACACGGTGAGACCCTGTCTCAAAAAAAAAAAAAAAAAAAGATCTTTTTATATATCCCTGAAGGATAAAATATCAATTCTGTAAAGCATCACTAATTTGACTTTCTTCTATTAAGAATTATGAACATTACTGTTGATTAAGTATAGATAACTGCTTGAAAGACAGTAATTATTATCTGCATGGCTCCTAATAGGCCTCCATAAATATTTTTTGCCTGTATATACAAAGTCTATTGTTATACTAAAGAGAATTTCTAAGCAAAGAATAGTGTAAAAGAAGCAGTTTTCCAACTTGTAACAAACTGCTTTCAGATACAGTAAAGGATAAAGGGTAAACTCTGGCTGGCATACATGAGTCTCAGCTAATTACAGATTATTTATCCTGTTATAGCAAGGCCAATTCTAGGCCAGGTTTGTAACCTGGTTACCATGAAAAAATAATAGTACTGTATACTATTTGCATGCACTACTATACTGAACACTCTTTCTCTAAGAACACACAACCAGTTCTTTTCACTAAATCACTCTAGCCTGGGCAACAAAGCGAGACTCTGTCTCAAAATAAATAAATAAATAAATAATAAAAACTATTTTAGTTAATAATTCCTTTTAATAGAAAGGATGGTGTAGTGTCGTGATTAAGAGCATAAGCCCATAAGGCCAGGTGTGGTGGCTCACACCTGTAATCCTAACGCTCTGGGAGGCAGAGGCGGGAGGATCACTCAAGGTCAGGAGTTCGAAATCAGCCTGAGCAAGAGGGAGACCCCATCTCTCCTAAAAATAAAAAAAAATTAATTGGCCAACTAAAAAAAATTATATATATATATATATATATTAGCTGGGCATGGCAGTGCATGTCAGTTGTCCCAGCTACTCGGGAGGCTGAGGCAGGAGGATTGCTTGAGCCCAGCAGTCTGAGGTTACTGTAAGCTAGGCTGACACCACAGTACTCTAGCCCGGGCAACATAGTAAGACTCTGTCTCAAAAAAAGAAAGAGCATAAGCTCATAGATGTGATAGAGATGGGTTTGAAGCTTTACTCCAGTACTTACTAGCTGCCTACCCTTGACCAAGTTATTTATTCTCCTGTTACTTCAGATTTTTCGTCTACAAAGTGAGGTTTAATAATAGTACCTATTTCAGAGAGTTGTTAGTATCAAATGAGGTAAATAGAGTAAATAATATTGCAGAGTGTCTAACACATACTGAGTGTTCAATAAATGTTGACTGTTAATAGATCAACCTTTGTCAGTTGCTCAAAATTTGATATGATCTGGGTGCATTGACAAAAGAAATTTTGTTTCTGCAAACTTGGGGACTAGACTCTAACATGGTGACCATCCTTGCTTGAGTGGCCAGCCAACTCCCTCTAACACATCTTTGTCTCCTCACTCATTGACTTTAATAACAGCAATATTGTCACTTTTCTTCTTTGACTCAATCCAGTGCGAGAAAAACAATGACACATATAAAAAGCAACAACTCAGAAAAAAAAATACCTTTCTTCGTGAAAAGTAGATCCCCAGGAATCCCAAATTCAAATGCTGAAACCTTAAGAGTTCTAAGATATTTGCCTCTGGAATGGAAAGATGTGCGATCATGAGAAATGGGGGTAAGATAGAAAAATTGTCACTTTTTGATTATTATGAAGTTTAGTTTTAAAGTTAATTTCTAGAAGATCGGGCACACCTAAAAGAAAAAAAAAAAGATCAACTCCAAAGCCAGTGACAAATGGAAACATACAATACAACTTTTAAATAGATAATTAAATTTATGTATTTATTTATTTATTTATTTGAGACAGAGTCTCACTTTGTTGCCCAGGCTAGAGTGAGTGAGCATCACTAATTTGACTTTCTTCTATTAAGAATTATGAACATTACTGTTGATTAAGTATAGATAACTGCTTGAAGACAGTAATTTAATACTGCATGGCTCCTAATAGGCTCCATAATATTTTTTTGCCTGATATACAAGTATTGTATTAACAAGAGAATTTTCTAAGCAAAGATGTAAACAGAAGCATTTTCCAACTTGTAACAAACTGCTTTCAGATACAGTAAAGGATAAAGGTAAACTCTGGCTGGCATACATGAGTCTCAGCTAATTACAGATATTTATCCCTGTTATAGCAAGGCCAATTTAGCGCAGGTTTGTAACCTGGTTACCATGAAAAAATAATAGTACTGTATACTATTTGCATGCACTACTATACGGAACACTCTTTCTCTAAGACACACAACCAGTTCTTTTCCTAAATTGTCAGTCCAACTCAGGGAGATTTTATTGTGCAGAGAACTTTTACTCCTCCTGATTCTCTTTAAAATCAGTTTCACCCACGTAAGTTTCTGCTGCTAGAATTCTGTGCTAAATTTAGATTACATCCTTAGGTTCAGTTTGAATGTGAAAACTATTTACTTCAATTCAATAATATTGTATATTTCTAATGTAAAATATTATATTTTCTAATGTAAAATATTGAGTAATTCCTAATGTGTTACTATTGTGAAATATTGACAATATTATTAGTTTAGGGAGGGAGAGTAATTGATAATCTTTTACAGCAGTTTTCAAAATATATCTGCATCTACTAGATTCAGTATACCAGAGAACCATTAAAGAAAAAGTTCACTTTTTAATTGTACTTCCCCACCATTTTAGTTTCACTTTTAAGTCACTGTCACCATTTAGCTTGGATGAACATCTTAAAACAAAAAAGCAAAGCAAATTTAAACCTTTCATAGGCCGATGAGGTCAGTGCTCACACCTGTAATCCTAGCACTATGGAGACCTAGGCGGGAGGATCCTCAAGGTCAGGAGTTTGAGACAGCCTGAGCAAGACCGAGACCCGTCTCTCTATAAATAGAAAGAAATTAGCAACAACTAAAACTAGAAAAATATTAGCCAGGCATGGTGGCGCATGCCTGTAGTTCCAGCTACTCAGGAGGCTGAGAGGAGGATTGCTTGAGCACAGGAGTTTGAGGCTGCTGTGAGCTAGCCTGATACCACCCGGCACGCTAGCCAGGCAACAGAATGAGACTCTGTCTCATAAAAAAAAAAGAAAAGAAAAGAAATTAGTAGAGGAAAAGTTTAAGAGGCATGTTCAGAGTCTGCATAGTATATAAGAATTAATTTCTCATTAGCCAAGTACTGGACTACAAATTACTAGTAAGAATGAGGGGGCATTGTCTGGCGTCGTGCTCATGCCTGTAATCTAACTCTGGGAGGCTGAGCGGGAGGATTGCTCGAGGTCAGGAGTTCGAAACCAGCCTGAGCAAGAGCGAGACCGTCTCTACATAAATACAAAGAATTAATTGCCAAGTAATACATATAGAAAAAATTAGCCGGGCATGGTGGCTCATCCTGTAGTCCCAGCTACTCGGGAGGCTGAGGCAGGAGATCACTTGAGCCCAAGAGTTTGAGGTTGCTGTGGAGCTAGGCTGACACCACAGCACTCACTCTAGCCTGGGCAACAGAGCGAAACTCTGTCTCAAAAAAAAAAAGATGAGGGAGCAGAGAGAGCATAGTTAAAGAACACCATCACTTTGACTAACTTCAAAGAGAAAAATAGGATACCGGAAAAATGGATGCAGGAGTGCCCCACTGATATAAAGTACTTACCTTAAATGGTGATTTACGGAGTATACAAAACATCTAGGGAATAATGAGACTTTCTGAGGCATGCCACATTGTATTAAAAAGTGTGAACTATGGCCCGGCGCTGTGGCTCATGCCTGTAGTAGCACTCTGGGAGGCTTAGGCGAGATGATCACTCAAGGTCAGGAGTTTGAACCAGCCTGAGCAAGAGGGACCCCCATCTCTCCCTAAAAATAGAAAGAATTAATTGGCCAACTAAATATATAGAAAAACAATTAGCTGGGCCAGGTGGGCGCATGCCTATAGTTCCAGCTACTCAGGAGGCTGAGGCAGCAGGATGGCTTGAGCCAGGAGATACGGTTGCTGTGAGCTAGGCGATGCGACGGCATCTAGCCTGGCAACAGGTGAAACTCTGTCTCAAAAAAAAAACAAGTGTGAAACTATGACATCCTTTCAATCCTAAACTAATCAACTGTGTCCCTCTAAAGAAAGAATCTTGGCCGAACGGGTGGCTCACACCTGTAATCCTAGCACTCTGGAGGCCAAGGTGGGCTGAGTGCTCGAGGTCAGGAGTTCGAAACCAGCCTGAGTAAAAGAGGGACCTGTCTCTAGTATCAAATAATAGAAAGAAATTAATTGGCCAACTAATATATATACGAAAAAATTAGCCGGGCATGAGGCTGCATGCCTGTAGTCCAGCTACTCGGGAGGCTGAGGCAGGAGGATTGCTTGAACCAGGAGTTTGAGTTGCCTGAGGTAGGCTGACGCACGCACGCCACACCTCTAGCCTGGGCAACAAAGTGGGACTCCTGTCTCAAAATAAATAATAAATAAAAGAAAGAACTTAATGAAAGAGACTTGGTCAGCTTGGGTATCTTGACTAGAGGGCTAGATGAACAAACTTAGATTTAAGACTTTAGCAGTTTATTCAGCACTATCTTGGAAGGAGGTAACTTGTAGATAAGACTATTCAGTCATTAAGAGGTGTATTTAAAGTAAATTGGGATAATTCTTTGGGATAATTCTTCAATAAAGTAAATTGGGATAACTTCTTTCTAAGTGAAGTCACTCAAGACCATTTGCATAAGAGTTTAGTGTGCATAGAAAGTTGGGGTGCTATTAATGAAGATTTCAAAATCCTTACTCCAAGATGCTGGTTCTTTAGACATGGGATTGACCTAATGAACCTTCTTATTGGTTAGCTCTTGGCTGTGCTTAGAAAAAATGGTTTAGGACCAGTGACTTACCTTCTTTGGATATAATTTTTTTTTTTTTGAGACAGAGTCTCACTTGTTGCCCAGGCTAGAGTGAGTGGTGTGGCGTCAGCCTAGCTCACAGCAACCTCAAACTCCTGGGCTCAGCAATCCTTCTGCCTCAGCCTCCTGAGTATCTGGGACTACAGGCATGCGCCACCATGCCTGGCTAATTTTTTCTATATATATTAGTTGGCCAATTAATTTCTTTCTATTTATATTAGAGATGGGGTCTCATTCCTGCTCAGGCTGGTTCAAACTCCTGACCTTGAGCGATCTCCCCGCCTTGGCCTCCCAGATGCTAGGATACAGGCTTGAGCCACCGAGACAGTCTTCTTGGATGGTTTTTTTTTTTTTTTTTGAGACAAAGTCTCACTTTGTTGCCCAGGCTAGGGTGAGTGCCGTGGCATCAGCCTGGCTCACAGCAACCTCAGTCTCGGGGCTCAGCGATCCTACTGCCTCAGCCTCCGAGTAGCTGGGACTACAGGCATGCGCCACCATGCCCAGCTAATTTTTTGATATAATATTTTTATAGTTGGTCAATTAATTTATTTCTATTTTGGTAGAGACGGGGTCTCGCTCAGGCTGGTTTCGAACTCCTGACCTTGAGCAATCTGCCCGCCTCGCCTCCAGAGTGCTAGGATTACAGGCGTGAGCCACCACGCCCTGCCCTGGATGTTTTGATACTGATCTTTTAGTCCTTGGAAATGATATTTTCTACTGTAAATAATAAAAAACTGGTCGGGGTGGGTGGCTCATGCCTGTAATCCTAGCACTCTGGAGGCCGAGGTGGGCGGATTGCATCAAGGTTGGGAGTTCGAACCAGCCTCAAGTGAGACCCCGTCTCTACTAAAAATAGAAATAAATTAATTGACCAGCTAAAATATATATAAATAACAAGAAAAAATTAGCCGGGCATGGTGGCACATGCCTGTAGTCCTTGCTACTCGGGAGGCTGAGGCAGAAGGATCGCTAAGCCCAGGAGTTGAGGTTGCTGTGAGCGAGAGCTGGCACCAGAGCACGGCGGGGGCCGGGCCGGGAGAGCAGGGCTGCACCGGCTCTCATCCTCCGCGGCAACCGCCCCAGGCGCAGGCTCGCCCAAGACTCCAGGTCCCCGCCCCAGAGCCATAAACCGCGCTCGAAAGAGCTAAAAGAGAAAAGAAACCAGCCGCCAGTCGAAAAGATTATGCCCCCATTCCCATTCCGTAATTCCACCGATCGATCGTTTAACGAGAATATGCAGTAAGCCGCTTCCATTTCGTTCAGTCTTAAAGGCAAACATAATTTTATGACTGCGACCACATCTGTCCGCTTAAGTGGCGGGAAAGCGCTAAGGAAATGCGCCACCACGGTCGTCAATGTGCTCAAAATGGCAGCCGCCGCCGAGGGCGGGGGGGAAGGGGCGGGCGACTCCACGAAGGGCACTGGGAAAACCGTGATCCTGAACCTCGCTTTGGCTGGAGCAGGCGACGAAAACGCCCAAGAATACGGAACCCAGCACACACGCACGCCCGCCATCTCCGGTCTCCCTTCAGCACCCCGCCCCCGCGGCCTCCGGCTTCGCATGGCGTGCGCCGAAGCCGCCATTACGCACGCGGAATAACCGTCTCCCAACCGCCGCGCCAACCCTACTGGCTCGCAATACTCACTACGCCCCCATCAACGTCCCTCACCGGACCCCAGCTTCTTACCTCCTCCGTACCGTCCGTAGCGCGACATGATGACCGCCCCGCGTGCTCTGCTCTTTAGCTTGCAGCGCCCAGGGCTCGCGTAACACGAAAGCTGCCACACACACTCGCTCGCCAACGGTCCCGCCGGCACTACGAGGAAGAACCCCGGTCCGCGCTTATATATGCAGCGGCTGGGGGTTTTGCGCATGCGTCATCTCGGCGTTCTGCGCGGCACAAAGGAGTTGGGCGGAAACAGTCTAGAAGCGGCGCGGAAGGAACTGAGGAGCCTAATACGCCGGTCACGGGCGGAGGGATACGTTTCCATGGGAACGCCACGATCTTGCCTGTAAACCCGTGTCTTTCCCCGTGGTGTCCCGCTCCCTCCCCTCCCCTCCCCCTTTTCCTGAACCCTCCTTGTCTTCCTTCCCTTTGCCCTATCTCTCCTACCCGTTTGTGTTTTCCTCAATCTAAGGACCCTCAGCGCTCTCAACCTTAGTACAGGTGCATTGAGACCGGGCTATGAAAGGCTGTACAATTTAACCGCTGATGTTGCAGCCGTTGCCGCCTTTCTGTTGGGGGACCTGGCCTAGTCTGCTACTCAGTGATCTTTGGGGCTCTTCAGAGGTAATCGGGAGTTGGCCAAGGTGAAAACTCCATGAACCCCGCCATTCTGAGTGGTGCTCTTTGCACCATAGGCCTCTCAGAAGGGGTGACGCCCCCAGGGATTCGTGGTGATACCTCCTGCCCCTGCCCTGCACCCACTGTCAGAATCAGTCACTAATTTGTCACCAACACAGTCTGAGTTCTGGAGTCTGGAAAACAAAGAAATAGGGAGTTGTTGTGGGGTTTTTTCCCCCTGGGTATACTGAAATTGTGACAAAACCCTGAGTCCTTAAAGCATTTTACCCAGTGGCAATTCGTGAAATTATTTGCATCTGAATTACAAAGTAATTTATTTGTTCTTCCCTTTTAGTATTGTCTGCTTTGTATTGTAGTAACACGTACAATACTCACATCCTGAGAATTGGGACTCTTATTAAATCATCTTTTAGAATATCCACTCAGTGGAGATAGCAGCCTTGCTGCTTAGCCACTCAATATACATCAAATAAATGAAAAACTTATTAGCATTGCTGAAAAGTCAGTTTTGATTTTATACGCTATATTTGCCAGACACCAATTCTACAAATAAAGATTTAAGTTCTTTTTACTGAGACCACTAAAAACACAGACTTGGCATCATCATTTGATGAAAAATACTTGTAATATACAGAGTTGGAAATGTTATACATAAAAGAGGAAATCCTTAGGTATTTGTGTTTTTATCTTTTTCATCTGTTGTAACTTCATTTGGTGTGTATAGGTGTAGAATGCAGAGAACAGGGAAAGGAGACCTCCTTGGTGAATAAAGCATGGATTCTCTCCAGGTAATGATCTGAATATATGCATATATCTTTCTCAAATTTAGCAAATTACAAAAAGACAGTCTATCTCAAGAAAATCTCTAGCAAGAAAATAGAAGCTCTGTATAGTATGTTATATTTGTTCTCCCTTAGTCTTTGTGGGTTTTGTTTTTCTCTACTTAACAGGGTTCTTCTAAAAAAGATTAAACAATAATTATAAAGATCTTTTTTAGGGCCGGGCGTAGTGGCTCATGCCTGTAATCCTAGCACTTTGGAAGGCTGAGGCAGGAGGATCACTTGAGCCCCTGGGTTCCAGGCTGCAGTGAGTTATGATCATGACACTGCACTCCAACCCTGGCAACAACACGGTGAGACCCTGTCTCAAAAAAAAAAAAAAAAAAAAGATCTTTTTATATATTCCCTGAAGGATAGAATATCAATTCTGTAAAGCATCACTAATTTGACTTTCTTCTATTAAGAATTATGAACATTACTGTTGATTAAGTATAGATAACTGCTTGAAAGACAGTAATTATTATACTGCATGGCTCCTAATAGGCCTCCATAAATATTTTTTGCCTGTATATACAAAGTCTATTGTTATACTAAAGAGAATTTCTAAGCAAAGAATAGTGTAAACAGAAGCAGTTTTCCAACTTGTAACAAACTGCTTTCAGATACAGTAAAGGATAAAGGGTAAACTCTGGCTGGCATACATGAGTCTCAGCTAATTACAGATTATTTATCCCTGTTATAGCAAGGCCAATTCTAGGCCAGGTTTGTAACCTGGTTACCATGAAAAAATAATAGTACTGTATACTATTTGCATGCACTACTATACTGAACACTCTTTCTCTAAGAACACACAACCAGTTCTTTTCACTAAATTGTCAGTCCAACTCAGGGAGATTTTATTGTGCAGAGAACTTTTACTCCTCCTGATTCTCTTTAAAATCAGTTTCACCCACGTAAGTTTCTGCTGCTAGAATTCTGTGCTAAATTTAGATTACATCCTTAGGTTCAGTTTGAATGTGAAAACTATTTACTTCAATTCAATAAATATTGTAATATTTTCTAATGTAAAATATTATATTTTCTAATGTAAAATATTGAGTAATTCCTAATGTGTTACTATTGTGAAATATTGACAATATTATTAGTTTAGGGAGGGAGAGTAATTGATAATTCTTTTACAGCAGTTTTCAAAATATATCTGCATCTACTAGATTCAGTATACCCAGAGAAGCATTAAAGAAAAAGTTCACTTTTTAATTGTACTTCCCCCACCATTTTAGTTTCACTTTTAAGTCACTGTCACCATTTTAGCTTGGATGTAAACATCTTAAAACAAGAAAAGCAAAGCAAATTTAAACCTTTCATAGGCCGATGAGGTCAGTGGCTCACACCTGTAATCCTAGCACTATGGGAGACCTAGGCGGGAGGATCCCTCAAGGTCAGGAGTTTGAGACCAGCCTGAGCAAGACCGAGACCCCCGTCTCTACTATAAATAGAAAGAAATTAGCAAACAACTAAAACTAGAAAATATTAGCCAGGCATGGTGGCGCATGCCTGTAGTTCCAGCTACTCAGGAGGCTGAGGCAGGAGGATTGCTTGAGCACAGGAGTTTGAGGCTGCTGTGAGCTAGCCTGATACCACGGCACGCTAGCCAGGCAACAGAATGAGACTCTGTCTCATAAAAAAAAAAAAAGAAAAGAAAAAGAAATTGTATGAAGGAAAAGTTTAAGAGGCATGTTCAGAGTCCTTGCATAGTATATAAAGAAATTAATTTCTCATTAGCCAAGTACTGGACTACAATTACTAGTAAAGAATGAGGGGGCATTGGTCTGGCGTCGTGGCTCATGCCTGTAATCCTAGCACTCTGGGAGGCTGAGGCGGGAGGATTGCTCGAGGTCAGGAGTTCGAAACCAGCCTGAGCAAGAGCGAGACCCGTCTCTACTATAAATACAAAGAAATTAATTGGCCAAGTAATACATATAGAAAAAATTAGCCGGGCATGGTGGCTCATACCTGTAGTCCCAGCTACTCGGGAGGCTGAGGCAGGAGGATCACTTGAGCCCAAGAGTTTGAGGTTGCTGTGAGCTAGGCTGACACCACAGCACTCACTCTAGCCTGGGCAACAGAGCGAAACTCTGTCTCAAAAAAAAAAAGAATGAGGGAGCAGAGAGAGCAATAGTTAAAGAACACCATCACTTTGACTAACTTCAAAGAGAAAAACTAGGAATAGGAAAAATGTGATGCAGGAGTGCCCCACTGATATAAATATTACTTAAATGGTGATTTAGGAGTATAAAACAATCTAGGGAATAATGAGACTTTCTGAGGCATGCCACATTGTATTAAAAAGTGTGAAACTATGGCCCGGCGCTGTGGCTCATGCCTGTAGTCCTAGCACTCTGGGAGGCTTAGGCGAGATGATCACTCAAGGTCAGGAGTTTGAAACCAGCCTGAGCAAGAGGGAGACCCCCCCCATCTCTCCTAAAAATAGAAAGAAATTAATTGGCCAACTAAAAATATATAGAAAAACAATTAGCTGGGCATGGTGGCGCATGCCTATAGTCCTAGCTACTCAGGAGGCTGAGGCAGCAGGATGGCTTGAGCCCAGGAGATTGAGGTTGCTGTGAGCTAGGCTGATGCGACGGCACTCTAGCCTGGGCAACAGGGTGAAACTCTGTCTCAAAAAAAAAAACAAGTGTGAAACTATGACATCTTTAAGTCCTAAACTAATCAACTGTGTCCCCTCTAAAGAAAGAATCTTGGCCGAACGGGTGGCTCACACCTGTAATCCTAGCACTCTGGGAGGCCAAGGTGGGCTGAGTGCTCGAGGTCAGGAGTTCGAAACCAGCCTGAGTAAAAGAGGGACCCTGTCTCTAGTATAAATAGAAAGAAATTAATTGGCCAACTAATATATATAGAAAAAAGGGAGAGATTGCCAAGCTAATTTTTTGTATATATATTTTTAGTTGGTCAATTAATTTATTCTATTTTGGTAGGACGGGGTTCGCTCAGGCTGGTTTCGAACTCCTGACCTTGAGCAATCTGCCCGCTCGCTCCCAGAGTGCTAGATTACAGGCGTGAGCCACCACGCCTGCCCGGATGTTTTGATACTGATCTTTTAGTCTTGGAAATGATTATTTTCTACTGTAAATTAATAAAAACTGGTCGGGTGTGGTGGCTCATGCCTGTAATCCTAGCACTCTGGGAGGCCGAGGTGGCGGATTGCTCAAGGTTGGGATTCGAAACCAGCCTCAGTGAGACCCCGTCTCTACTAAAAATAGAAATAATTAATTGACCAGCTAAAATATAATATAATAACAAAAAAATTAGCCGGGCATGTGGCACATGCCTGTAGTCCTTGCTACTCGGGAGGCTGAGGCAGAGGAAACGCTTGAGCCCAGGAGTTTGAGGTTGCTGTGAGCGAGGCTGACGCCAGAGCACTCACTCTAGCCTGGGCAACAAAGCGAGACCTGTCTCAAATAAATAAATAAATAAAATAAAAACTATTATTTAGTTAATAATTCCTTTTAATAGAAAGGATGTGTAGTGTCGTGATTAAGAGCATAAGCCCATAAGGCCAGGTGTGGTGGCTCACACCTGTAATCCTAACGCTCTGGGAGGCAGAGGCGGAGGATCACTCAAGGTCAGGAGTTCGAAATCAGCTGAGCAAGAGGGAGACCCACTCTCTCCAAAAAATAAAAAAAAAATTAATTGGCCAAAAAAAAAATATATAAGTATATATATATATAGTTAGCTGGGCATGGCAGTGCATGTCAGTTGTCCCAGCTACTCGGCGAGGCTGAGGCAGGAGGATTGCTTGAGCCCAGCAGTCTGAGGTTACTGTAAGCTAGGCTGACACCACAGTACTCTAGCCGGGCAACATAGTAAGACTCTGTCCAAAAAAAGAAAGAGCATAAGCTCATAGATGTGATAGAGATGGGTTTGAAGCTTTACTCCAGTATTACTAGCTCCTACCTTGACCAGTTATTTATTCTCCTGTTACTTCAGATTTTTCGTCTACAAAGTGAGGTTTAATAATAGTACTATTTCAGAGAGTTGTTAGTATCAAATGAGGTAAAGAGGTAAATAATATTCAGAGTGTCTAACACATACTGAGTGTTCATTAAATGTTGACTGTTAATAGATCAACCTTTGTCAGTTGCTCAAAAATTTGATATGATCTGGGTGCTTGACAAAAGAAATTTTGTTTCTGCAAACTTGGGACTAGACTCTAACATGGTGACCATCTTGCTTGAGTGGCCAGCCAACTCCTCTACACATCTTTGTCTCCTCACTCATTGACTTTAATAACAGCAATATTGTCACTTTTCTTCTTTGACTCAATCCAGTGCGAGAAAACAATGACACATATAAAAAGCAAACAACTCAGAAAAAAAATACCTTTCTTCGTGAAAAGTAGATCCCCAGGAATCCCAAATTCAATGCTGAACCTTAAGAGTTCTAAGATATTTGCCTCTGGAATGGAAAGATGTGCGATCATGAGAAATGGGGGTAAGATAGAAAAATTGTCACTTTTTGATTATTATAAAGTTTAGTTTAAGTTAATTTCTAGAAGATCGGGCACACCTAAGAAAAAAAAAAGATCAACTCCAAAGCCAGTGACAAATGGAAACATACAATACAACTTTTAAATAGATAATTAAATTTATGTATTTATTTATTTATTTATTTGAGACAGAGTCTCACTTTGTTGCCCAGGCTAGAGTGAGTGGTGTGGCGGCAGCCTTGCTCACAGCAACCTCAAACTCCTGGGCTCAATTGATCCTCCTGCCTCAGCCTCCCAAATAGCTGGGACTACAGGCATGTGCCACCATGCCTGGCTAATATATATATGTTGTGTGTGTGTGTGTGTGTGTGTGTTGTGTGTGGTGTGTTATATATATATATTTTTTTTTAGTTGTCCAGCTAATTTCTTTCTATCTTTTTAGTAGAGATGGGTCTCACTCTTGCTCAGGCTGGTCTCAAACCCTGAGCTCTAACAATCAACC